GGATTGGTTCTGAACTCCTCTAAATCCAAGCTGTTACACATAAAGTCTCCTTATATCAAGTGTACTTTAACCAAGCACATTGTTGCTCACGATCATAATTGCCTTCAGTCGTCTTGTAAAAACACTTGCAGTTGCCCCTCTATAGATCTCGTCAATACCCATACATATCTTGGAATGCAGATCGATAGTAAGTTTACTTGGCATAACCACATCGAGTGTGTTTGTAACAAGTTAAGACAATTCTTAGCTAATATTATAATACTGAAGAACAGAATTCCGTTCCCAGTTAAGATGATGTTATATAACTCTCTGGCAGAATCTTATATACAGTATGGTTTAGGTAGCTATGGTCGTACATTTAATACTTATTTAAACAAAATATATAACCTCCAGATAAGAATCCTTAAAAACATTGTAACAGACAAGATTCGACGTCAATTTCATGATGACAATAGTATGCTCTTTAAGCACTGCAATATACTACCAGTTCATACACAAGTCAAATATTTTACTTTTAAAAAAACACTTTTTTAATGAAAAGTTAAAATTAGAAATTAAGCACCCCGTGTGTACGCGCGCCGTAAGCAGCCGCAAGCTGCAGACGAGCCAGGCAACAATATGTACGGGGAACGAACAGCAAGTTACATTGTTCCACGACTTATAAACAAGCTACCCCCAGATTTCCGCGATAACTGAAATATAAAAAACATTAAAAAAAACTTAAAATGTACTTTTTGTGTAATTTATAAAAAAAAAATTACTACTTGAAACAGCGTATATGCGTTTGCTCAGGTACTAATTAGGCTGTAATGTTTCCTTTTTACAAACTATATTAATTATACTTAATGTAAAGTCTACTCTGGTCGCGTCATCACAAACCTTAGTGGTTTTCTGTATGCGACTTTTTAGTATAGTTTTTTTGTAATGCTTTGTAATATGGTAAATAAATTAAAAAAAAATTAAAATGAATTCCAAATCAGTGATTAAAACATTACGAGAATTATGGTCGCGGTTTGGTTTACCAAAACAATTAGTTTCACATAACGGCCCACCCTTCACGAGTTCAGAATTTAAACAATTTTTAGTGACTAACGGGATAGAACACACGTATTCAGCGCAGTATCATCCTTCATCCAACGGAGCAGCTGAAAATGCGGTTAAAACCTGCAAAAATGTAATAAAAAAAGGCTATACAGACAGACAGGACAGAACTTAGACGTGGACGTTGCGCTCCTATGATTTCTTTTGGTATGTAGAATTACTGAACACTGTACCACGGTAGAGAGTCCAACAAAATGGTTACAAGGCCGCGTGTTACGTATGCGACTTGACTGCTTAAAACCCGAGCGAGCAGATCGCGTTCACACCTCACAGATACGTCAGCAGTTAGTATCAGGAGGTCTGCATCGGAATTTTAGGGAAGGGGACACAATTTGGTACCGTAACTATGGCGCGGGAAGGAAATGGTTAGAGGGTAAAATTCAGTGTAATTTGGGTAATACGGATTATGGAATTTTAGGTATCGACGGAATCTTACATCATAGACACGCAGACCAATTAAGACATGCGTTTAATGTTGATTTGAATGACACGCCCACACAGTGCGAGAAATGCAGGCGCAGTTCATTTAACCCATTTCTAGATGCAATGTCCAAGCAGAGCGATAAACCAGGCAAGGTCTTGGAGCAGTCAACAGGCTCGATGGAGGAGGGTGCAGGAGTCCAGCTGGGTACGACAACACCAGATATTAATAATACCATACAACCACAAAGTTATTTTTAGTTAGAAACCACCAATACGGTTTCCAGAGTTTGATTGGTCACTATAAGTTAATTATTAAGTGTACCCTGTTATTATTGTTTTTATGTTAAGTTATACATTGTACTTCATTGTTACTTAATGTATTTTGTAACGTTATATTATAAAAGAACTTGTCATTTTGTTAAAATAAGGGGGAAGGTGTAATATATTATATGGTTTGTAGGGTAGGTGGCATTTAATTATAAGAGATATATGTCAAAGGTATGTAGATGGTTAGGAAAGGCTTGTGAATAGACGTGGAACAATCAACACAAGTGTTTTATTCTACAGTAACTAAAACATTTAGTATAAGAAGGAAATTTAAATTCACAATACACAACACAAGACATCTGGACATAATAATAAATAACTAAGCTAAATGAAACGACTACTGTACCTAAAACACGTAAAAAGTCGATCAACGTTGATATGTTTTTTTCGCAGTCTTTGAGATAGTCCTATACATATACCTGGCAGTACACTTGAGATTGGCTGCGATACCACCAACTGCTGGAGATCTTTATGGCCATTTCCACATACAACACCCACATGAAGAAGTGGGATGGCGGGTTTCTTTACTCCGCTAACGCACTGATCCCTAGATAAATATTTTATTTTTATTTTAAAATATTTATTGCATTCCCTCAAAAAAGAGATACTAAGGGTGGACTTAATGCCTAGAGGCCTTCTCTACCAGTCAACACCCATGGAATGGTGACAATTTGAAGTAGGTGTAGCAAGTGAAAGAAAAAACTGGCCAAGTGCGAGTCGAGCCACGTACAATGTAAAGGTAGGGTTCCGTAGTTGCCCGTCACAATACGTGGGCTTTCTTGCTAATGAGCATAATAAGTGAGTTCGGGGTTTGACCGCAGTAAGGATTAAAAATGGGCCTGAATATGATAGTGGTAACTGAAGCACTTATTATTTTCAAATCAGACTTATGGGGATTGGCATTAAAAAATATTAAAAAATCTTTCTGTTTTGAAAATAATACAAAAACAAATCATATCATTCACATGCCAAGTCCGTACAAAGATGGTCTTAGTTGACTATGACCAACTTTGTACGGATATTATGAGATTTCCATCTATGTACTGACTCATATCGATATCTCTGGAACCATGACGCCTAGACTTGAAATTTGGTAGAAATATTTCTTTCGTCGAGTAGACGTCAGCTATGATTCTATGAAATTTCCCCTGCTAAAATTATTCTATTTAAATTCTTCCGTATGTTATTTGCGTTTACTAATAAATAACGATCACGCTGGGAGTAACTTTCTCATTCATTTCTTTATTTATCAAGTTAGGCCCTTGAAGTAATCACTAACAAAGGAAGGTGATAAATTACGGAAGAAGTAAGAAATGTTAAATCGAAAATGACAGTGGAAATTATCAGCAGTAATCCCCAAATTGTTTGCGTTTAAAAAAAAACATTTATTTTATTAACAGAATACCTTTAGTAAGTTTCGAGTCGAACTACATGTCGAACGCCCCGTAAAATAAAGAGACTCATACAAACTGTAACACCGCATTTCACTTCCTTGGGGGTTGAATTTTCCAAAATTCTTTCTTAGTGGATGTGTTATAAAATAAAATATGCCTGGTGACGTTTGAAAAGGCAGGAACTGTGTGAATTTCGGATTTCTACGTCTACGGCTGTGCGTGGATAGATGAGTCAGTTACTCAGAACATCCTCTTTTATATTTATAGATAGATAAATTATTATTAGTTGTTTATGTAGAAAAGGTTATAGTATTAGTTGTTTATGTAGAAAAAATTAATAATTTTTAATCTGGAGGTAGCCGTGGTTAAATATGACATTGGAACGTCATACACCTCAGTCACCCCCGTGACCATGGGTGCTGTAATGTGCTTGAAACGTCGGGAATATAAAATAAGTTAATATATGCGATAAAATCCGTAAAATTAGTTTTATTTAAATGTGTAGTGTTCGCGTAAATATAAGAAATCATTATAGAAAAGATGTCGTTTGCGTCGCAGAGCTGTTTTAATGGCTCAGATCTTTTTAACATGATAGAGCCATGCTGCAGCTATGTTAATTGTATATACTTATAGTTGTAGCACGAATGGGGAAAGACCACGCTCTCACAAAATACCAGCGTAAAATAGCAGCTTAACGCTGCTGTGTTTTGTATGGTGAGTGTAGAGAATCGGAGACCCATTTTACTGGAAAAGAGGCATTCCATCTTAGTTCTCACGGCTGAGATGTTGATGTCTATGGGCCACAGCAACAACTTACCACTGACTGTGTGCTCGTTTGTCACTCTTATTCTATAAAAAAAAAGATTCTAAAATCATCCTCGACTATAATGACACAATAGCAGACAGTTCACATGATAGTGACTACAGCAGCCTAGGGACATGCGCAAACAACTTAAAGAATGGCTACAGATGTAAAGTCACCCCAGAGGACTAACATTTATTGTATCACACTATCTCTTCTACCTGTAGAACTTGTGCTCGGTTGCTTTAAATCTAAACACAGCAATGAATGCTCAGCGGCAAAAATACGAGTACCTAAGTAGGTTAGTTTTTTTTTTTTATAAGATAAGGGTGACAAACGAGCACACAGTCCACCTGATGGTGAGTGGTTGCTGCGGCCCATAGACATCTACATCTATCTTCGTTTGCGAATCAAAATGCAGATGCGTTGTCACCCGTGAGGACTAAGATGGAATGCCTCATTTCCAGTTAAAAGGGCCTCCGGCCACCTGCACTCACCAAGCGAAACGCAGAGGTAAACCTCTACTTCACGTTGGTATTCTGTGAGGTCGTGGTACCACCCCGGTTCGAGCCGGCCCATCCGTGCGACAGCAAAAGCCGCCGCGTGGCTCTACCACTGTTAAATCATATGTGTAAAAATATAGTGGTGATCATATTATGACTTACCGTAGCGTTACAGGCTATCAAAGGTTTACTGCTGGATATAGGCTTCCCCCATGTATTGCCTCATAGGGGAGGATTTTTGTTAGTTGCCACGCTCGTCAGGCGGCTGAGCAAACGTAGATTTTTATTATTTTTTATATGTCATTAGAAAGACGCTGCTGCCCATCTCCTGGTTTGTTTCCCTCTGTCGACTCTTACTGTCGTAACTCCACTCCGCCACTACAAGGTTCATATTATCGGATTACCAAATTGCATTACTAGGAATTTTCCTATTCCATTGAAAAAACTGGGGAAAGAATCTCACAAATTACATGTTTTAATTACACGATTATTTACATAAATAAACAAAATAAAGATTTACATAGTAACTTAATTGTACTATATTTACAACATAACATTAATTTACACTATAATAAAAACTAAGTGCACTGTGTTAATTTTTCATCTTTTGTACTTTTTTCAATCTGTTCCAGTTTCTTTTTCAATAAACTACTGTCATTAGGTAAAAACGCAGCTATGAACGCTGATGCTGAAACAGAACAAAATAATTTTACTTTATAACCCTTTTGAAACTACCGCTAGAAGTAGGCGAGACTATAGGAAGGGATAGGAAGGGAGGCAACTATGAGAAAAGCTAACAAGATCTATAGTCGATGGTTTAACATCTCATAAACGGTAACGGTTACAGCAAACCATCTACACTGGGAGAAGCATATTTCTAGCAGTGGATAGACACAGATAGACAACGAAGAAGAGACATAGGCGTTTTCAAGAGTGACAGCTAGCATGTCCAACCTAAAACAATTGCAAATACTTATCGCACTGGTCGAGTGGGTTAGTGAGCACAGAGGCCATACCCTCGCATTGGAAATACTGTTCATCTTCATTACCAATGTGAGGGTATCAACCTAGCTCGATGAATATGGACAAATATTTTAAGAAATGCAGGCCACTTGGAAAGGCCATGAGAGAATATACACATATTTTATTAATAAATCTTTTTTATTAATGCTGCTATTAATCATTTTTTTAATAAATCAACGCCGTTACACAATACCAACGTGAAATAGTAGTTCAATGCTGCTGTGTTGTGAGTTATCGTGAGTGTAGAGAACCCGAATCCCTTTTTACTGGAAACGAGGCATTCCATTTTAGCCTTTAGGGATGACAACGCATCTGCATTTTGATTCTTAATCGAAGATAGATGTAGATGTCTGTTGGCACCAGTATCCATATATATATATATATAATGAAACCACAAAATCAGTGTAAATTATCACCATGTACTCATGGTCTTATGTATTAAGTAAATCGCTCCGAAGATAGAAAATATTGTTTTTCTACGTGGTAGAGCCATGTTGCAACTATATTATGGTTGAATCACGAATAGGTCGGATCGGCCGGGGAAGGACCACGCTTTCTCAGAAAACCAGCATAAAAGCTGCTGATTTTCGTATGGCGAGTGTAGAGAACCGGAACCCCTTTTTACTGGATACGAGGCACTCCATCTTAGTCCTGAGGGGTGACAATACATCTGCACTTTGATTCTTAATCGAGGATAAATGTAGAAGTTTATGGGGCACACTTACCAACAGGTGGACTGAGTGCTCGTTTGTCACCCTAATTAAAAAAAGAAGAGACTGAGCAAAAATACGTACAAAGAAAAATGCTACTGAATGTATAAAAACCAGCACTGCAGTTGACCTCGAGCAGCCGGTTGAGGATCGGTACCGAAGCAAGCATTCCAATACTTCCTCCAGTCGATGTTAGAGCCACGGCCAGCGCCCTGTAACACGTTTGAATTCAAAGATAATACCTCTGTAATAATTTAACGTGAAATGAAATCTGAAACAAGTTCAAAAGTGAAACAGTAAAAAAACTCGACTGCGTAAAAAGTTAACTGAAAAAAGAAAAATTTTACAACTTATGTCACTCCCACAGTTAAGAAGAATTTAACTACACCTCATATTATGTTGAAATCCAACAAGCCGTTTCGTCTACAGAGCGTGCCAAATAAATAGACATACATACACACTCACTAAAAACATTACCCTCCATCTGGGGCAATCGGGAAATAACAACGTTTTTCTTGATGCCTATTTCTATTCATAACTTAAAAACATAAAATTAAAAACAGAAAACTTCTGTTACAGCCTAGTAAAGTCCACTGCTGAACATAGTCCTCCCCCATAGATTGCTTCCTAGCGGGGTTATTTGTCGTAGTTGTGACGCTTGGAAAGCGGTTGGCGACCGCAGTTCAATTTTTATTTTTGTAGTATTCGTTGTTATTAGGAAGACGCTGCTGCCCGTCTCCTGATTTTTTCCCTCTGTCGCCTGTTACGACACCCACGGGATGATAATATGGGGTAGTGGATATTTTTACACCGCCACTACACGGTAGCAAAACTTCATACTGGAATAATCAGTAATTTCATGAGAAATGTAATTGACATAACGGGGCAATAAGATCAATTTATTACTGACCTCTCAATAGATTTAAGAAAATGTAATGTGTGCGCTCAAAAAATAAGGAAATTTAACAACAAAAGAGATTTACATACATGTATTTGAATGCTTGTCAATTAACGATTTAAAATTTCGTGAAACGAAAACTGTATGAAAGTCATCTTTAATAACTAAAAGTCGTGGTCAGCTCGGGGGCTAAACGCCCGCCATAAATTTCACAATAGCTAATTACAATTCAAGTGCTCATTTACCACGTACTTGACGACGATAGAAAACATGGTGGACAACCTGTATCTCCTAATCCTAACAACCATGGGGTATGTGACGGACACCACCTTGCCCTCAAACCCTCATAGAAATAAGAGTAGTAGTGGGACGTGTGAGAACTGTAACTTTAGTTTTATTTATTAATTTATAATATATAAAAATATAAGTGTAATAATTAAAGAACCTTACAAATTTATTAAATAAACAAACGGGAGATCACCTGAGATGAGTGGGGAACAACGCAACGGTAAGGGCCACGTACATTCCCGTAAGCAACCCTCCAGCCATGAAGATCATGAAGAAAACGACGCTAGCGTAGGCGTTGGTTATGAGGTTCACCATGATGCCTGACACTCCACACACAACTGTAAAGCATATGGCCATGTTGCGGTAGCCAACTCTGTTCACCACCTGCATTTTAACGCAACAATTTCTTTTTTAATCTATATCTTTTTATTACATCAAGGTGCGTATGGAAGAATTTATATGTTATTTTTTTAAATACCAACATAACCTTGTATAGTATCCCGCTTCTTGACAGACAATGATTAGGTATTGCCGATCGGTTGATAAGGAAATGTGCATCCAAATCCGGTTAGTTCGAATTACATCGAATGGTAAGGAGGCGCAGCAGTACACCAGTGTGAGGGTCTCCGTTATATGTGTTGATGGTGAATATGGAAGAATGCAACAACTGGTGTATTATAATTAAAAAAGCTTATATCGAGTGGATTTAAAAGACTTGGACGATCCATTGAGACCACGAGAGTAACTTAATAAGTGTCTCAGAAATATTGACGGTTAATTTTAAAAGCGTTTACAAAAATTTACTTCGCAAATATCCGCGTTATAAAACAAAAAGATTTGTCTTACCTAGTATGAAGAGCACCTCCCGACCTCCCTCAATTGCGTGCACTATCCCCGGACACACCACTGACGATAATAGTATTATCGTCAGTGGTGTGTCTTGCCTAGTGTAGTGGTGTTGGGAGTAGCGGTGCTGGGATTAGTGGTGACGGGGATAGTGCACGCAATTGAGGGAGGGCGGGAGGTGCTCTTCATACTAGGTAAGACACATCATTTTATTTTATAACGCGGATGTTTGCGAAGTAAATTTTTGTAAAAGCTTTTATATAATGGATTTCCGCAAAGTAACGCCTGATTCTATTAATTAGGTTAATTTTAAGACTTCCTAATGAACTGTACAAACGACTTAACGTAAAGTTAAGGGTAGATTTATTTTTCTTTTAAATACGTAAAATAAAAGGACTTTTATATATATATATTGTACTATAAAATGTACTTACTATAGACTTACCAAACTTAGCAATATGTTAAGGAACGACTGCAGAGCACCCATTGACAGTAACAACAGAAGTGATGATACGTTCAGGGCGCACGGTGCGACGTCTGGCTGCAAATGGTAATTCGTTACCCTTAATATTCAAAGTTAGAATGAAAACGAAATTGTAACATCTCCGAAAACATGAATAAAATAAAAACTGCATTGTAGCCCCATAAAAAGTAAAAAAGTAGCAGCCTACATTCATCCCACAATGGGCACAAGCCACAGAGCGTTTTGGGGCAGAAGAGCGTTCGCTACGCTGACCAATTTAATTAATTAGTAACTGAAGGCCTATTATTTATTCTGTGCTGAAGGCAAAATATTACTACTTTTTGCGTTTCCGTTTTATGATAGATGGCGCTGTTTTGAAAACGTAAAACGTATATCGTTGGTGTTTCAAATTATTACACAAGGGTTAAAGCTAATTTTAGACTTTATATAGAAAAATAAAATTATCTTCTAAAGGAATGATAAAATATATTTACTCTCCTTTTTTGTAGTTCCGTAATCGAATAAAAAGTAGCCCATAAGTTGCCCCCGGTCACACGTACAAAATTTTATGGAAATCCGCACAATAGTTTTTGCGTGAATCGGTAATAGACATACGCACAGACAACAATTCTAAAAAGCACCAATTTGGCTTCAGTATCCTTTATTTAGTCCCCCGGACTTGTTTTTTCCAAGAAATATTAGAATTACAGGCACGAATTTTCTACAGATTTATTGTAATAAGTATAGCTATAGTGAAAAGTGTATTAAGTATAGAATATGAATTTACAATTACTTTATTAAAGGTAGATTTTCCAGTCAGATAAAAGTTATCCATCTAATAAATTATAACCTACCTAAATATAAAAGAAAACAATTATTGTACTATTTTATTCGTAGATATATAATTTTTATAAAATTTTGTTTGTGGTATATTTTATACAATGAATAACTTTTATTTGATGAAACTCGATTTATTATTATTATTACGCGAACTTATTGACCCGCCATTATTACCATAGTGTTATTATCATATCAATTCAGAACAAAAAAATAACTCACGGATTCTTAGTATTTTTCAACATGTAACACATTTATTAAAAGCCCCTTTTTAAAACTTACATCAATTGGCACTTCTACACTATCGCTGATAATGCTGCATAGACTCCTGTCTGTGCCTACTCCTGTCTCCACGATCTGCATGAACTGATTGACAATTGTCGGCAACCAGACTCCGAACGCTGTAATTCTGCATAAAAATATTGGAACGAAGTTCCTTATCAGACGGTACGAATTTGGCGGAGAGAAAGTGTAAGATTTTTCCGTCACGACCCCTACTGATGTAGTGTAGACGGCCTTGACGGCCATAAGGAAGCGAGATGGAAAACATTTTTTTATATCTTGCCATGAAAGAAATATTATTTTATTTTAAATGACGCTTCATTTTATTAGACACTAGTAATTCATGTATTTATATTTGTTAATCAATAATATAATACGTTTATCAATAATGATATACTACGAAAGGAACTTCGTTCCAAACGAGTGTTCCACGACACTCAGGCGTTTTTTTTTCATACAAAAAAGTAATCTATTTCTATAATTAATCTTTAGTAGGATGATCTCTGTACATTAGAATTTTTTGAGACTAGCCATATGCGCAGGATAGGATGATAGCGCCTGATTGGTATGCCGCAAGCGCAGATGCACTCTCCATTCCCTCACTGGCCTAGTGCAATGGGACGTCAAACCGACACGACCGGAGGGAAATAAAGAGAAGGATTAATAGCTTTAAAGGAAGAACTAATGGCTTTACTTACTTTCCGAGACACTGACTACGGGCTGCTACTCAATAACTAATTTTTATGGCCCGAACTGGGATTCAAACCTTCATGGGAGCTCATCATCCGCAATCGCATTTACAACTATTAGACCCACGAGGCAGTTGATATAATTTAGTAATTTAGTCGATATAATACCGTTGACCCACCGGCAATTTCAGCCTGATCCAATTAGTTCAACCGTAAGTTAAACTAGTTGAACTTATGAGACAACATTATGCCAATCAGTTCAATTATATAATTATTTAGGAAAGTTGAAAATATTGAAAGAAAACCGTTCCGTAAATTTTAATCTATACTAGTATATGACCGTGAACTATAATACTAGTATGTTTGAACGCGCTAATATCAGGAACTAACCACTAGTTCAAGGTGAAAACTTATTTTTGTGTTAGATAGCCCGTTCTTTGATGACGGTTACTTCATTACTTTGTACCTAAAAAAAATTCTTAACAGAGCTGCTATAAAAGTTATGTTTTAAAGGCTGCTACTATCATTATTTTAACAGTGTACGAAGAAAAGCAAAAATATTGAAACTGGCAAAGTCTGGATACTTAAAAAATAATAATACGAGTGTACATTAGAGAAGGATAGCCTTATGTTCTGAGTAAAATAGAATTTTCGAAAGTAATAATTTATTTAAATAAACCCTCTCAGAAATGAGAGGAGGCCTGGGTCATTTTAACTAACTTTTTAAATAAATTTGTTGTTTACTTTGAGAAACCATGCCTAGCAAGCCGTTTACTGTGAAAGACTACTACAAGAGAATGTGAAGCAGACCAAAAAGATGTAACAAGGAATACATTAATAATGACAATATTATAATGGACATGCAAATTCAGTTATTTAAGAATGAGATAACCATCCCTCTATTTTTGGAGAGTTCGCGTACAAGTTAAACGTGCAAAAATAATTAAATAATGATGCAATATTTGATAACGTTTTTATTTACTTTTTACAAATTTATAACAACGTTTATTAGTATAGTTTTAAATAAGAAAAGAAAACAGTAGATTATTTTCAATTTTGAAGTTTCTTTTTTAATAGAAATTTATTTATTTATTTATTTGAACTTATGAGACAACATTATGCCAATTAGTACAACTATATAATTAATTAGGAAAGTTCAACATATTGGAAGAAAACCGTTCCGTAAGTTTTAATCTATACTAGTTGTTACGGCCTACAGCTGCTCACATAAAGGTCAAATCCTCTGGGGCCCATTCAGCAGAGTTTCAACGAACAGACGTAGGTCGGGCCTCCTAAGGCCAAAGTGGAAAATCTCTAATTACACTAAACAATAAGGGGGAGCGTTCTATACTACGGCAATTCAACAGGAAGAATAGTAGACGGAGCTGACTAACCTATATCCAAGGCGACTGGTCCCTCAGGAGTCGGTCAGGTCGCATGTGGTTGTGTGGTGCAAGGGAAATAAGGTGCTGTGATGTGTGTCTGGGTGTGACTGATGGTGATTGACCTTAGTAGACCTTTGCCGTCGACAGCAGCCCGGGCATCAGCACCGCTCCAAATTGAGGTAATCTTCCGCGGCGCTGTCCACAGTCACTTTCTTCGTTCGTCACGATGACAGTACATTAACTCTATCGTACAATTAACTAACTTACAGAAGTCACTAACTCTCGGTTGTTATAAAGCTTAACACACAAAAACGAACAGGGAGTGTCCGGATCAAAGGTCACTACCGCTTCGAATATTGTCGAATGCACTTATACAGATTCTGAGTCAGACACAATGAGTCCCTGGGAAGCTCTCCAGCAAGGAATGCGCGTCACAAATCCTAGACAGTATATTTACTAGCCGCGCCTAATTATCCCGAGTTCCCGAACAAAAATTGACAGCGTGCTGACGTTAGCACAGCTGTCAGACGATTCGACTGCACCTTTACGCGTTCTCAAACCCACCGCTCGACCGACGTCAAAACCGGTATGGTACCAAGCCGCGCGCCCTCTGAAGTCGATTCCGAAACCACCGTTCGAGGGTAAACAAACCCCCGTCCCGGACATAAGGATTTAGGTCCGCGAGCAAACCGGTCAGCGGGACAGGGTCGCGACGGCAAGTTACAAGACCGAATCTACAACCAAACTAGGCCAACTTAGGTACCCCGTCAGGTCTTGCAACCCTAACCAACGCCTCAAAATTACAGACCCAACGTGGGCAAGCCGGAGGGTTGAACTAGATGCCCTTCCTGGAAATCGCAGCCCATAAATAAGTCCTATTCCTAGACAGAAGTCCGACGACCTCCTTCAAACACCTATCTGTGCTCCTATGATTAGTTCCGCAATCCGACCGGATCAGGTCTGCAAACAGCGACGCGACACGAAGTGGCCCAGAGTGGCCTCCTAAACTTCAGTGCAGAGAGCACCCACAATTCCACATGAACGTCGTCTGTGGAGAGCCGAACGAAACGCACAGATAGTCCCTAGTATGAATTTTCAACAAGTAGGCCTAACCAAGCCATCCGCCATATAATCATTTACTAAATAGTGCGGCAGCTGATTTCAATCTGATAATCTCCAAAACTAGCTAGCCTGTTAGACAAGTAGTCCTATGCTCATATTTCAACTAATTTTTCAAAAGCATCAATGTTCAACTACAGAATTAATTCAACCAAATTAATCACCGATGCACATAGGTCAACTTGCAAATTAAACAAAACAATAAACGTAAGACACAGCCCTATTTCTCATTTCAAATAAGTATCTTAGACAGTGCGTACAAATGCGAAAACCAACGTAGGAACGACTCCTTATTCCTTTCGGCACAAATAGGGTTAACTAATTTCAGCCTTCATTTTCACAAAGCAAAATGATTAAACACTATCACAAAACATATACGTATAAACATATAGCGCTGGACGCGACAGCATGCGGGCCGCCAGCCGAGCGCGGGGGGCTGCAAGACCACCTAGCAGCCGCCCGAATCCATCATCCCCACCAGAGGGCTTGATGTCGGCCGAGTCTTCTCGGACTCAGCAAGCGGCATCCGCCGCTGGTGGAGCACGTCGCATGCGTTGGACGGAAATAATGAACAAAAACGCATTGCGAGGGTACTTTAGGGCGAAAGGGGAAGAAACTGGAATGTTGGTGTATCGGGCTCGGATGCATCGCTTTTTCGCAGAGCTGGAGCCATCGGTTCATATAACGGAGCAAAACCTGGCAGACCGAGTTCGGTATATCCTGCGCTGCGAACTCGAACGATTACGACGTGAGGCTGTTCCCTCATCGGATGAAAATGCTGCAGCTGGTAATGCGGCGCTACTAATTGCAGAGCAACCCGCACACGTGGATGCCGCAGTGGATATTCCAGTTGTGGTTCATTCAGACGATGATGAAATAGTCTCCCACAAAGTAGAGCAAATAAGGAGTATATTGGAAGAGGCTATTTTGGAAACGCGCAGTACGCCTCTCGAAAATCGACCGCGACTTCCCCGCATACCCCTAAGCAAGCGGAATCGGGCTGTCGTGAGAGCTCTCAACCCAATGCTGGTGACCTATTTGGAAGCCAGCCGGGACCTTTGCGATACGGACTCAATTCTTTTTGGCGCCGCACTGGCAGTTTGCCGTATTATTGGCGCCAAACTTCCCACGGCTGGACGCACTACTAGACTCAGTAGCGACATCCCAGCCTGGAGAAAAAGAATTGAGGACCGTATCTCAAAGGCAAGAGTCCAAATCGGCAGACTGACAAGCTTCAGGTCGGGTAAAAATAGACCGAGAATTGTGCGCACCGTCAGAATGGCGATTGCTGGGACAAATATAAGGTTGTCCCAGCCGGATATTACGCAAAAGCTGACGGAGCGCATAGACGACCTGAAGCAGAGAATCGCTGCTTGGGGAAAGCGGATTCGGCGATATACCGAGAGGTCGACACGGTTCAACCAGAATCGTCTCTTCCAGAGTGATCAGAAGAGGCTCTATAAATCATTGGAGCGACCAATGGTACGTGGAACGGGCCAAGCACCGAATCAGGCCGACACTGTCGCATTCTGGCGCGGCCTGTGGTCAGAGCCCGTAAACCACAGCGAGGGCCCTTGGACGGAAGTTGTGGCGAGTCAGTGTGCGAATCTTACGCCCATGGACCCCGTCATTATAACGCCGGACGATGTAGCTGAGGCGGTCCGAAGGGCCCCGAACTTGAAAAATCCGGGGCTGGACGGGCTGCATCACTACTGGCTGAAGGGGTTCGTGGTGTGTCACGCTGTGCTCGCCCGACAATTTCAAGAGGCTTTCGACCAAAAGTCGCTCCCGAGCCTCTTCACTACTGGGATCACTCATTTGGTTCCTAAAGACCGGGATACCATAGACCCGAGCAAATACCGCCCCATCACGTGTCTACCCACGATATATAAGACACTAACATCCATTTTGAGCGCGAGAATCACTCGTCACCT